CATTCCTGCCCTTTTAAAAGTCTTTTGCTCACTGAAAGACTCAGTTGTCTCTCTTACAGTTGAGTTCGGCCCAGATCTTTCACTTGTCATCTTAATAGCTAATGTTTTCTAAACTTGTTGCAATTCTTTTCCTCTGAAGACTTTCCAACTCGTAGGTCAGTTTTTTAATTTGTGGTGCAGTTCCTAGAAGAAGTCTCGGTGTTGAGCTGAGTGGGATAGGTACCCCTATGCCCTGTTTGTAGTGGTCCTGCTACCTGAAACGTATTTTGTTGTTTTTATTGCACTGGTGTTGCTGACTCACATTGAGTGACCTGATGAAATCCCAGTTATCCTTACCCGGTCCATTACTCCATTTTGTAGTTACATATTTGATTTCCCTTTCCTACACACAGTCTGTTGCATTCACTGTTTAATTCACCGTGTTGATTTTTGCATTGTCTCCAAGATAATCAAGATAAATTTGCAATCTGATCTTGTATTTGTGAAGCGGTGCCTTACCACTCAGTGCCCTCTGCCCATACTGTCAGGGTGTTTTCTATCCCATTATACAAGTCATGGGTTAAAATACCGGTAGAAGATATACCCAGGGCGAGTCTTGGCAGATCTTCATTTAAAGTGTCCTCTGAGATTGACAGCAAATTGCTATTGGAGTAGTCTTTGGTCTTTGTCAAGCTGGGTTTACTCACCATGTGGGAGATTTATCAAGTCACGTTCTGCCCATTTCCTTTTGGTAATACTGCAAATGCCATTCTTTTGACTACAGTAGTGCCTTACACTACATCAGAGCAGTTAGATCCTGGAGCCTTCTACTTTGGTCCCAAGGAAACCTAACCAGGTGGTTTAAGAAGTTTATGAGGGGTTGTGAAATAGCATCACTGCTTGAAAGAGCAAAGGACTCAGTAATTCTGAAAATCAGTCTTTTCCTGAAATTCTTCTAAGGTCTTGTATCTTTTAGCTTTCTCAGGCACTTACAAGCTGCATAGATACTATATGGTGATACTTGTCAAGCTATTCTTAATAGCTCCTTTAGGCTATGAGCATATTTCAAAGGTCAATGTGTTGCCACTGTGTTGTGGCAGACACAGACATGGGAAGCCGTGAACAGCAAGGACAAGGGATTAATTAAAGAATATTTTAATGATTCCTGTCTGCATTTCCATCTACTGGTAGTAGTGTTTGGACACGATAGTCTCCTGTTATAAAAGCAAAGCAATTCTAGTTGGAGTATTTTTTCATTGCATGGGCTGACATAGTGTAGAGAGGTAGCCAAACTTTTGGGCACACCATGTGTAAGGGGTTAGGCACCCATAAGCTTGTTCCTTTGTAACTAGATCATTTGGCCTACTCCATCTCCATGTAACCCTTGCCTGGTCCAGCATCACAAAACAGTTTTCTTCTGTTTTATTTAGAGACGAGCAAAATTTTATAGGCTCTGAATTACTGAACATGTTATTTTACATGAAGTTCTTGTTACTTCGTAGCTGTAGTAGGTTTCTTTATTTTCATGTATAGGTCTTTAATGATACTCTCCATTCTGTGTACATTAGCGTAAGTTAGTGTGACAATTTTGCTTTTCTCAAGTCCCTATCGTTACAATGATGGCATAATAATGTGGCCTTTTTAAAATGTCTTTCATTGTTGCCTATTGTGAAGCTTTAACAACTTTTAATGTCATTTTCTTTGAGTCATTTTCTAATATAGTCCTGAAATAAATTTCTTATGTTCTATTCACTCATTGTTTTTTTACTGCTTCAATGGGTTAAAGTGCCTATTACTGGTAAGTATACTGTGAGAAATGGGGAGAACTGCAAATCCTGAGGTGGTTTGAAATGTGTATGATTTAGTATGGATAACGCTACAATAAAAAGTGACTGCTGCATGTCACATTATTAGGCAGTTTAGGTAGACATAAATGGACTGAATTTAGCAACCGGTGTGACAGTTCAAAGAATTGGGTTTCTTAATAGGAGATCTTGTTTCAGAATGCATTAAAAAGGTTTGCATTTTGATGGAATTGTAGAAAATCCAACCCTTGGAGTGTTCCTTTATTTCCTAGTGTGTTTTACCTCCTAATCTGGATCCTTTGCAAAGAAAATGGTAAACTGATGTCAAAGAAGTGTTGGAGGGATCAGCTACACACTTCTTTCAGTAGCTGCTTTCCAGAAAGATTTCAGTTAGATTTTTTCTCCTCTGTAAAAGCATTTGAACTGCTGATTGCAAATTAAAAACAAAACAAACAAAAAAAATCCCCACCAAACTATTTCACAGAAGGGATTGACAAAATGTAATCACTTCATGCAGCTTTGACATTTGGTTTTGATAAGAGGATTGGTGTAGCACAGGGCATGAGAAGAGACTTCTTTGTTTATACAGAGCAAAAACTGCAGCTGAAATCAGCACACTCAACAGTTTCATTTCTCTCCTAAAAGAGCGGAGTTAAAATGACCACTCTGAAGTGCTGATTTGTCTTCCCAAATGGAGGTGGTGTTCTAAAACAGTAGCATAATTGCTTCTCTTTTTTACTAGGATCTCAATTTAGTGTTTGTTGGCTTTAGAGAAATGATGTGCTGATACCACTACAGAGTTATTCTAATTTATTGTTTAAGGTGTAGTATTGCTGTTGATGCATATTAGCCATTAAAAAAGTTACTTTGGGTGATAGAGGCTGGAGTTCCCAAGTACATTAATGTCATAAAGTTGTGTAGCTTCAAATAAAATGCCCTTCAGACATCTTTATTGCGAGATGAAGGATTGCAAACTTTTCTCTGTGTTTGCAGTTAAATTCCTTTATGTACTTCACAGTATTTATGTGCTGGAGAGTAAGTGCTTTGTGTTCTCAGAAATTAGACATGTTTCAGAAGGAAGAGGTTGAAAATAGATGTTGATAGGTATAGCAGTGGGTGTTATTTGTCCACGAGTAATGCATTGATTTCTTGTGAATACAGATGAAAATCACAGTGCGACAGCAGAGTCCAGCCGGCTCCTGGATGTCCCTCGTTACCTCTGCGAAGGCACAGAATCCCCGTACCAGACTGGGCAGCTGCACCCTGCCATCAGGGTGGCTGATCTCCTGCAGCATATTAACCTAATGAAGACCTCTGACAGCTATGGATTTAAAGAGGAGTATGAGGTGAGATCTTCAGTGGTGGGGTTTTACTAGGAAAAATCTCTTTAAAGGAGCAGCCTTTTGGTTGCACTGCATTGCAGAAGGATGCAACTAAATGCTGTAGATTTAAGTGAAAAACAGATAAAGATGACCAGGCATAAGATTCCTATACATGTAACCCAGAAGTAAGATAGTGAATGGAGTCAAATGGTTTGAGATTTTACAAGTGCCTGGAAAAAACCCTATGTGTGTTCCTTAGGGTGTAAGAAGACATGCTCTACTGAATCTTTTCAACGTATTGTAAGAAGTTGCCACCCTTTTGTTGCTGCATTTTAGTTGAAATGCTGTAATTAGTTTTGTGAGTTTTCTGAGCCATCTTCAGTGCAGGTATCTGGGATTAGGTTAAAGTAAAGATTTAGCCTGGCTGGTTTTGCAAGAAGCACTGACTGGAAGCACTCTGATTTATTACAGCATCTCGGTAGGGCAATACTGGGACTAAACTCCAGCTGAGAAGCAGTAAAGACGTGCCAAGGGTAGTAATGTCTTGAAGTTCTAATTAGACCTGCCTAAGCATGTCTACTTACAACTTTAAAGTTGAAAAAAATTCCCAGCACTGGAGACAGAAGATGAGTACAGGTTCATTTAGCTTCTGATCTCTGAATCTGTTGTGATTCTTTGGGATTAGAATATCAGGCAGGAGACAAAGTAAAAATGGGAATGGTACTGCCAAGTTCGTTCACTATAAAGCTAGGTTTAAAATGAGTTTTCTGTGAGTGAGTAATCTCTTCTGACTCAGTTTTCAACCTTCTCTCCTTTCTGCAGCTGTCTCTACTGTAACATAAGAACTGGAATAAATAAATGTGTGGTTTTTAAAAGAATATTATTCTCCTTTCCTCTCTTTTACTTAAATATGCTTCGTTATGCTCTGCCTAACTCCAGGGCCAGTGCCAACCACTGCTGGGGGGAGGGTGGTCCCTGATGCCACATCAGGTGTTTTTCTACTTGCTGCTTCTTCTGTTATCCTGCATGACGTCTTTTCCCTGGCTTGGGCTTCTGAGTGTGCATTAAAGTTTTGTTTCTGTGGCTACTGTGTACTTTTTCGAGGCAAATTACACAGATCAGGATAAGAGAACATCTGGAAGGAAAGAATAGCATAGACCTGCAACAGCTGTAAAATACCTACGGGCAATGAAGAAAAAGCTGAGGAGGAATAAAAACTGCTTCTATCGCTACTGAGAGATCAAACTCTTAGCAAGAGTTCAAAAATGTAGAATAATTTTGCTAATGGTAAGAGGGAGGGATATGAGAAAAAACACCATGAACAAGGAACATTGGCAAAGGAGGCTTCCCGATGGCTCTGTAGGAAGAAAAGCCATTTTACTAAGCGATGTGAGGAAAGCCCTGTAATGCTGTAGTGAACAGGCTATGTATTATGGTGTCCTGTAAGAAGGGTGGTCTGTCTCCCTATGCTTTCTCAGCTTACTGTTGTTCCTCCATGGCAAAGATGCCCTAGCAAGTTTAGCCTTCCAGCAATTCCAGGGCTTCAGATCCCTCTGGAGTCCCTCAGTGACTTGCCCATTGACCTGTAGCAGTCAGAAGGAGTGAGCCTCTCTTCTTCTCTAGACAGAGTCCTGAACCATGGTGTCGCCAGGGTGACCAGAGCAGACGAGCAAAGCTGGGCTTACTTTATGGTAGGGCAATTCTTCTAAACTGTTGTTTTTGGAGATAAATTAATGGTCAGAATGTTTTCTTTCGGAACATTTTTATTTATAGAGTTTCTTTGAGGGGCAGTCAGCTTCTTGGGATGTCGCTAAGAAGGATCAAAACAGAACAAAGAACCGCTATGGAAACATTATAGCATGTGAGTATTTGTGTGCTTGGTTTGAGCGGTAGCCATAGTTGTGTGTTACTTGTGCCACGTTCTCTCTTTCTTTACAAGTCTCCGGTGACATAGCTGCTTAATACCCCAAGTGGAGAAGGAGGACAGTGCCTTTTCCAGCTGGTTTTCTTTTTTTGTCCTTCACAGTTCAACTTTCTTCCTTTTATAACTCAGGCTGAATTCTGCATTTGCATCTCTGTTGTGCAAGCTGTGGTAAGCATATAGCAGCAACAAGCTAGCAGTCATTTGGATGTTAATTCTGTTAATGTGACATTTTTTATTGTTTTACAAATGCAATTGAACATATAGGAATGAAGCTACCAGAGAAGTTCCTGAATGGGTAGAGTTACCTCTTCACTGAATCCCAAGTGCATTGCTAACTCCCTACATTGTGACTTCCTTTTTTATTTTTTTTTACGTTTAATATGAACTTAAGCAGGCTGGGGTCGGAAGTAAGGAAACAACAATCAGGATTTTTGGCTTTCTAGATTACCATCAGTGGAGATGATGTTGAAAGAGACTTTGAGCGAGTAACCTGGTTTCTTCGTGTCTTTTTAGCCACGTGTAACAGTGTGTGATACCTTTCCGCTACACTTAATGAAGTTTAGGAGATGTTTTTGAAGTAATCAGAGACCTCCCACAAAACATTTCTCTGTAAACAGTTACTATTTAGGGGTTGTAAATTGTGAGGAGATTTTGCCAGCTGATTTTGGTTTTCTAGATGACTTACCGTGATATCTTACTTAAAAATCACACTTCAAAAAGGCACTGTAACCACTTGGTTTTTACAGATGACCACTCCAGAGTGATTTTGCAACCTGTTGAAGATGATCCATCTTCAGATTACATTAATGCCAACTACATAGATGTGAGTGGATTGCACAGCTTTCTCCCTCTCAATTTCCCAGCTTCTCTATGTGAAACTACTGCATGTTTATGCCTTAAAAATTACTGAAACTTTCTTTTATTAAGAACAAAATGTACACTTTCCTTGTTCTACGTCCTAGTACTCACTGACATTGTTGTGCTTTCTTTCACATCTGACTTTGGTTTGGGCTGTAGATTTGGCTGTACAGGGATGTAAGTACCACTATATGTGAATAACGGCATCCTATTATAATTATTTAATATAGATATTGTTATTAATTACTTTCCTCTTCTATTTTTATCAGTTGATAACTATGCATGCCTCATCTAATTTATCTCATCTGTTCCTTTAAAAGTTTTCCTTTTGTGTGACTATTTTTTGTATCTGTTTTGAAAAGATAATTTAGCCTTTTAACATACCTCTGAGTATTATTAGATATTGTGAACCTGTATGTTAAAGAGAACTGGCTGCTCCCTTTTTTATGATGATTTTGGCCACTAGCTTTTCTTTTCCCCTTTCCATTTGTATGTGAGAAGCTGGATAGTATACTGTAACGTAGTTGTCTGAAAATGTACCTGTGAAGTAGTCATAATATATGTTGGGCTAAAAGGAGGGGATGATGGCCTTTTGTGGGATTTTTTTGTTTGTTTCTTTGTTTGTTTTTAGCAATAATTTAGACAAAATTTAGCTCACATTTGTCTTAAGGTGGTAATTCAGGTATTTCAAAGTATATACACAAACATATACATATATATATATGAAAATACTTGAATATAGTAGAAATTTCCTCACTTCTGTAGAAAACCCCTGAAGTTTGAAATACCGTACTCTGTTTAAAATCCAAGTTAAATTATAAATTTTTAAAAAACTTGTAACAAACAGGAAATTTGAAAAAAACTGCCAGATGTTTTGATTAACAAAATAAAACTTTTATCCAATTAATGCTTTAGGAATAAACAGGTTGTTGTCTTCAGAGTAATTCAAAAGCAATTCAGAAGACACTGGAATAGCTAGTAAAAATGTTTTTAAAATACATGGCTGTGGTTACTTTTCTGTATAATTGCACCATACTGATTTTTCCTGTCCACTCTTAGTTGATAAATTATTTAAGACCCTGTTGACTTTCCAGGATATAAAGATTTAGCTCTGGGTATATTGCTGCCTTTTTATTTTGATATTTTAACATGACAATCTCTGTGATGTGTTAGGCCCATAATATTTTGCCTGGGGCCTTAAACAATAAAACTCTCCCAGATTTGTAATCATTCTAGTTCCTTGAGGATGTTGTTTCTCTTATTTAGGACTAAATTGAATTTCATTATAGCCAGACAGAAAAGCTACAAGTTAGAACTGGCACTTTGCAATTTTAAACTGACACTTTTACCTTCTTCTGGAAAGCGTTACTGAGTGCAAAACAGTGCAGCACAGGATTCGCTTTCATAATTTGAAGATGAGGCTTGATGTTAAGGACTCCAGGAGAAAGCTTTTAGTCATTTGATGCAATCTTGGTCCTTTGTAAAGCCAAGGTGTCTTGGTTTTACCCCAGCTGCAACTCTGCCCCACCCAGCCACTCACTCACCCACTGCAGCAGGATGGGGGAGAGAAACAGAAGGGTGAAAGTGAGAACACTTAGGAAGTGAGATAAAGACAGTTCAACAGGTAAAGCAAAAGCTGTGCATGCAAGTAAAGCTAACCAAGGAATTCATTCACCAGTCCCCCTGGGCAGGCAGGTGTTCAGCCATCTCTAGGAGAGCAGGGCTCCATCACATGTAGCAGTGTCTTGGGAAGACAAACACCATCACCCCGAACACACCCCTTTTTTTTATTTCCCCCAGCTTTATATGCTGAGCATGACACCATACAGGTGTATTCAAAAAGATATCCCTTTGGCCATTTTGGGTCAGCTGTCCCCACTGTGTCCCTTCCCAACCCCTTGTGCACCCTCAGCCTGCTCACTGGTGGGATGGGATGAGGAGCAGCAAAGACCTGGGCTCTATGTGAGAACTGCTCAGCAGTAACGGAAGCATCCCTGAGTTACCAACACTGTTTCCAGCCCAAATCCAAAACAGCCTGATACTAGCTACTGCAAAGAAAATTAGCTTTGTCTCAGCCAAAATCTGCACGTAAGAGCAAGATACTCAGAACTTTTTTTCAGAAGCCTCAGAGGAAGCTCTTTCACTCCAGACAGGAAAATGAAGCAGTCTGGTACATTGAAATCCTTCACTTTAGTAGCATCTTGCAAATACCAGGAATCCAAGGACTCATGCTTTCCTGTAATGTGATACTTGAATCAAGTGGCCTAATAACACTGTAACCTAAAAAATAATGATTACTTCAACATTTCTACCTTATGAAATTCTGTATTGTCTTCTCACTGGCTATACTAAAGCATCCTTCCTCTTTTAGCTAATGTTGCTGGCACTGGTCAAAATATATTCTGAATTACTTCCTCAAGAGCAGCAGCTCTTTGTCTTGCAGTTTGTATGCAGACAAATGCCATACATGTACAGTACCACTAACATTGGCATAGACTCAGCTAACTGGAAAGGCTTAGTCATGTAGGATTATCTATCTATCTGTCTATCCATATATACATATATATATGTAGGATGTATGTGTATATACTTGTGTGCATCATGTCAAGTGTAACTGATGCACATTTTGTGCTGTAGCAAAAAATATTTTGCTGAAGATTCCAATGCAGTAGGACCTTGATTCTGTGCATACGCCACAGTGTCCAGCTCTCTCCCCATTAGTTAAGGCTCAGGTACCAACCTCTTTGTGCCTTACAATAATTCTCTGTTTAGAAGAAGACAAAAACTGTGTCTTTTTTCATATTGGATACACTGGGAACAAAGATCAACTATTGAGATAATCTGGTAGAAAAGGTGATTTTTACTAAATTTCAAGTAAACACCCCAAATGTATTTGGCTCAGAGGAAGTGTCAATAGACGACTAAATTTTAGGCCTGAGGGACCCTTCCACAGTACTCCTTCCCAGTACACTACAATGTCTGTTCAAGTCAGATGTTCTTATTTCCATTTTATCTGTTGTCATTTGAACCTCTTCAGTATTAACTGTTTTTTTAGGTTTTGAGCTTCATGCTGCTCTTAAATAGTGGTTTGTTCTGAAAACACTGTCTAGAGATAAGAAATCTGTAGTGTCCTTAAGCTTTTATTTTCCCCTCTCTGTTAGTAATATGGTACTTAAACCAACTTATATTGCTGTTTTAGGGATATCAGAGACCAAGTCACTACATTGCAACCCAAGGTAAGAAGCTGCCATCATTAATCAAACCAAACCAATGTTCTCTGTAGTGTCCAGCAATATTTTGATAAAATGGAGGTAGATTAAAATAAAGCATATTCAATATTGTGAGTTATCTTCTCGTGTTAAGGTAAATTAACATGGCATGTTCAGGTGGAATGTGAATAAATGCAAAAATGGTGCTAAGTTTTCATGTTAATTAGCTACTGAACAACTCTTTCAGTGATAAATTCAACTGATAAAGTCAGAAGCTACTACCACGGTTTCCAGTTATGAAGATGAATAGAGAAAAGAGGCATGTGGACACAGAAGAGAACGGTTTTAACCTGCCTTGAGGCATTTTTATTTCCTCATGTATTATTTTACTAGAACTGTAGAATAACACATTTCTAATGTATTATCTTACTGTCTGGGATTTAGTCTAGGATGCAGATGGTGAAGATAGTACTGATAAATTAAATGTTATTTCAGAAAATCTGGGTAAAGTAAGGCCAGCAAAGGACAAAGCCTCTTTGTAGGAAGAAGTGAGACAAATCTTTATCATATAACAACCTGCTAATAAAAAGGGAGATTAGAGGAAAAATTTGAATTTCTATGGAAATCATTCATTTTTGTATTTCTGATAAAACTCCTCTCAATGAAGAAAACCAAGTAGATTAGTCTAACATTACACTGAAATATCAGAGGTTATGAATTAAAGTAAAAATAATTAGATTTAGATGTGTCATCATTTGATCTGTGAGTATAATCAGACAGCTGGCTGGAAATATCCTGTAATTTGTGCCCTCAGTTGATCGTAGCTGCACATAGGAAGACAACCTAAAGGTTTGTCTTAAAGCAGGAGGCTCCAATTTCTGCCCACCTTTTTAACTCTTGTGTAAGTGCTGTCTAAACAGATCTCTCTATGGCAGTTAAGTATACATTTGTATTTTATTTGTGTTTTACTATGTAAATCATGGCACATAACAGTGTGTAAAAGAACACACATCTATTGTGGCTTTTGTATGCAGCATTCAATCTAGCATACGAAGGACTATGCCCGAGTCTTCAGATGTGTGTTATTTACAGTAATATTTGTGCTGCACTGTGGTCAGGGAGCTGTTCCAAGATGACTGTAACAGGGTAAAAGCCTCTGTCTCTCAACTGAACATGTCTTGACTCTGCAGCAGAGCAGAAGGCAAAGCTTAACCAAACGTTCCTCATTTCCTTCACAGAAAAGTAGTTAAGTTAGTTTAACTACCCTTCAGTGGGAAGTTTATGGCTCAGCACCTACTCGTGCTTGCACCCTTTGCCGAGAGCTAGATGGTAAGCGCTCGGGGTCTGCACCACCAGCCCTCCTGACTGATACTTCACTCCGGCGTGGGCATCTCCTTGGTGAACATCTGAAGAAACTCACACTCTACACATTATATTTAACAAATGTAAAACAAACCTAGAAGTGTAACTGTAGATGGAGTCACACATCACTGTGTCCTTGTAGTTCTCAAGCAACTCCTGGTGTTTTGCTACATGAAACACCTGCTATTAATTTCTTTCAAGTAGTAATTCAGTTAAACTGAGAAGATTCAGCTTTGATTAGAAATAACAATGCAGTCTGGAAACTGGCATGGTGGTATGATGATGTGGTTTCACAAAGCTTTCATCTTAGAGCAAGAGTGTTCCTGTGTATTGGGTCTGAAAAGCACCGGATTTTATTTTTAGCATTCGCTTTGATTATTTTTTTTTTGCAGAATATTACCTGGATTTTTTTCCTTACAGGTCCAGTTCACGAGACTGTGTATGACTTTTGGAGAATGATATGGCAGGAGCAATCAGCTTGTGTTGTGATGGTGACAAATTTAGTGGAAGTTGGAAGAGTAAGTTTTTTGTTTGTTTTTCTTTTAATGCTGCAAGCCTAAAGAAAAACCTGCTGACAGGACACGCTATCAGCAGAATGTAGAAGAGTCCTGTGAAGGACAACCCTGCATCATGAGAGGAGAGGAAAGGGAAGAGTCCAGACATTGTTGCAGTTACAGGATTGTGTAAAACCAAAGCATTGTGTAATAACCAAAGGAAGACTGATACTGTGTTGCTTTCATAAATAGTGAAAAATTGTCTGAATCCAAAATTCATATTTCAGCAAAATAGATTTGTATATTGTCACTCAAATGAGCAGAGTAAGTGAACTAGTGGCAAATGTGCTTCTATATCAGTGGCTAGAAGTCAGCAGATTATTTACAGTTTAGAAGTAACACATCCCCCAGGGAGTAATATAAAGTATCTGGGATTACTCGCAACAGTTTGATTACTGATATGAAATGCATCCCAGTCCAACATAAGTGTAAATGTATTCCATAGCTCAGCACTAAAAAGAAATATAAATGCTCATTTAGAAGTGAATTTGCCATCTAAATACAGCTGTGTAAAACAGTGGAAACTCCTTGTAGCTCAACTAGACAGTGCTTAACTAGACAGAACAGCTATTGGCCCTGACAAGCCGTGTAAGTGCATGGTCATCTTGGAAATAAATGTGGTGTAATGCAGTACATGCAGTAATGTACCCTTACGTTCACTTGGTGTAAATGTGTACCCATTTTGTATTTAGGTCAAGTGTTACAAGTACTGGCCTGACGACACAGAAGTTTATGGGGACTTCAAAGTGACTTGTGTAGAGGTGGAGCCCCTTGCGGAGTATGTCGTCAGGACCTTCACTCTGGGAAGGGTGAGCACATTTTGCAAGAGCTCAGCAAGATGCTGTTGTTTCCCTGGCAGCAAGGAGTATGGAGGCTGTGCTTGCATGTATTCCTGTACAATACCAGTTCCCTCTGTTTTGTAGGTCCACAGTGTAGGGAGCCTGACCTCACCATGGGAAAAACATGTTGCATCACCGCTACCCAAACACACATCTCACTGTGGGATTTTGAATTTGCCCAGAAATGTTGATTGATTCTCTCCCCTCTGTGACAGTCACCTTTACTCTGTAGCCCCACTTCTGAGCTGAGCTCAAGTACTGGCTTAGGAGTCACGACTGTCATTCATCTCCTTTCATTCTGCCCTGAGTGCTGCTGAGTCAACCTCACTTAATCAAAGAAATAATTCTGTGAAGGCAATATATGTGATGCAGTTTTGATCTTCCACTAAATCATGCCTGGAAATGTAGCAGACCGTTGTCTTAATTAGCAAAACTTAAAAAAATCAATGTGAATTCAGTCTAAGTCTATTTAAAAAAATCTAATGAGGCAAAATTAGCATACTCTGAGGCAAAAATAAAAACTACAAACTTCAAAGTGGGAAAAAATGACATCTTCAAGCTTCATATGTTCTTTGCTTCAAATAATTGGAGAATTGGTGAAACGATGAAAACAGCATGTAGTTACTATCAGTGTGTGTTATCATTATTTGAGTCAGAGAGTATCTAGTCTCTGAAATACTTTGAATTTCATAACTTCTTTTTTTTTCCTTTTATAGAGGGGCTATAATGAAATCCGTGAAGTTAAACAGTTTCATTTCACTGGCTGGCCAGATCATGGAGTTCCTTACAATGCCACAGGCCTACTTTCCTTCATACGGAGAGTCAAATTATCGAACCCTCCTAGTGCGGGGCCTATTGTTGTCCATTGCAGGTGTGTACAGAAGAGGTAGACTGATTTTTTTTCCACAAACTGTGTATGTGATTATTTGCAGCAGTCTCTTGTGAAGCATCCATCATTTTGAAGTGTTTTGTTTTTGTTGTTGCCTTGTTGAATTGCCTAATACACACCACAGTAGGATTTGGCAGTCTACAGCAATGTTTGGAAATAACCAGATTCTAGAATGTTTTTCCTAAATAGAATATCCAGAAATTTTCTTTTCCCTGCATAAGCTGCACCAGCTAAATCATATGATACTTTAGGCTATCATTTTACATAGCCTACAACAATTTTGTGATAGTATTTGAGAATAAATGTAGATACAGCTGTTTCGATAGCTTGGTGTTGAATATAATGTCTGAACAGATTATTAATTTAAATCAAAGTAAACAAGTAAATGAAGGAAGATGGAATGAGGTTAATGGCAACAAATACAGAATGTTGCTTTTCCTGTGCAAGTTTTGCAAGGCTTGTGCTGTAGGGACACATCCTTTCACAAACAGAGTTTTCTTTGAGCACCATCAAATGTTTAATTACATCCTGCAACTAAAGTTACTCAGCCTTTACAGATTTTAAGAATTATAGAATCATAGAATGCATTGGGTTGGAAGGGACCTTTAAAGGTCATCTAGTCCAAACCTTCTGCAGTGAGCAGGGACATCTTTAACTAGATCAGGTTGCTCAGAGCTGCATCTAGCCTGATCTTGAATGCCTCCAGGGATGGAGCCGCTACCAGCTCTCTGGAACACCGGTGCCAGAGCTTCACCACCCTCATAGAAAAGAACGTCTTCCTGATGTCTAATCTAAACCTGCTCTGCTCTAGTTTAAAACCATTGCCCCTCATCCTATTGCTACACGTCCTGGTAAGCAGTCCCTCTGCAAATTTCCTGCAGGCCCCCTTCAGGTACTGGAAGGCTTCTATAAGGTCTCCCCAGAGCCTTCTCTTCTCCAGGCTGAACAGCCCCAACTCTCTCAGCCTGTCCTCACAGGAGAGATGTTCCAGCCCTCTGATCATTTTTGTGGCCCTCCTCTGGACCTGCTCCAACAAGTCCACATCCCTCTTGTGTTGGGGACTCCAGAGCTGGACACATTACTCCAAGTGAGGTCCAACCAGAGCAGAGGGGCAGAATCACTGTGCAAAAAGCTGTCTGTAGCTTTATATAAAACCAAAATAAATCAAGAGAGATTCTTCTGGATACTGCTGAATGTGCTGCCTGAACCAGCGTAGAGCTTGGCTGGTAAAACATACACTTGAATTTCTTATTGTAATGTATAACTTGAAAGTCATCCTTAGTCTTCTTAAATAAAAACAGTATCTGACATATTTTGAAGTGCATGAGCTTAATCATCCTCCAGATTTCACTTTAACTAACTTTTCTTTTTTTACTTTAAGTATTCATCCAGGTGATAGAAGGAAGAAACTTATTTTTTTTTGTTCTCTTACTTAGCATGTCAAATCTGATGCAAAAAGATTGGTTTGGGCTCATCAAAAAGATTTACAGGACTTTATGAAGAGCAGAGAAGAAAAATCGAACAGTAATTGTGATGAAAGAACTGAATGACTATAAAAACGCTCTCAGTAATGGGTTTATAAAGTTTGTGACTTTTCAGTGGGCTATTCCTAACAGTATTTACTGATTCTTTTTAGTGCTGGTGCTGGACGGACAGGTTGTTACATTGTGATCGATATCATGTTAGATATGGCAGAAAGAGAAGGTGTTGTGGATATCTACAACTGTGTCAAAGCCTTACGGTCCCGTCGCATCAACATGGTACAGACAGAGGTATGGCAATTCACCTTCAAAACAGCTGATGCTTTGAAGCATTACTGGACACATGCTCTTGTTACAGGCACGTGTTAAAGTTTGTGCTATTAATAACCTCATCAATATCCACAATAGCTGGGTGATGCTGGCATGGTGCTTGCACCTTGCTGTATAGACACGATTTACATCTATTACTCTTGGGGAGAGTAAATGTAATAGGCGCTGTGTAAAAAATTGACAGGAGGCCTGACTGAAATAACAATGTAGTTGTCTGGAACGCAGGATATCTCAAGGCAAATCCAAAAAAGAAAACAAAATGGGGAGAAATGCTGTTTCTGTTGGAATACGGTTGAATTTATTATTGGCCAGCATCCGACTATCATGCAATTGGTGTAGTAGCTTGTACATGCGTAACAAGCGTGCCAAATAATTGCTAATCACATTAGTAGTGCTTGAAGCAATTTACACTTTCTACTAGTACTAAAAGACTGAAAGCTATTTTAAAAAAATAAAATTAATAAAGCCAGCAAGTCCCTGGCATATATGCAAAAACCCACAAACACCACGATAAATCTGAAAACCTCCTCTTAAATAAATTGCTCTGCCTGTTCTGTTAAGTTTTACTGGTTTGAAATTGGTTCTGAAGAAACATCCTTGTCGACTGCATCCCAGTTAGGACAAGATTGTGTTTGCACTAAAGCGCTTTTTAATGGATTGATGGACACTACTGTGAATGAGTTTCACAGTATGCAGGAGATCTGTTGTTTTTAAATGGCTGTAATTTTTGTTTCTTTGCCTAATTTGGTAGGAGCAGTACATCTTTATTCATGATGCCATTCTAGAAGCCTGCCTGTGTGGAGAAACTGCCATTCCTGTCTGTGAATTCAAAGCTGCTTATTTTGATATGATTAGAATAGACTCTCAGACAAACTCTTCGCATCTCAAAGATGAGTTTCAGGTATTCGCAGTTTCTATTAGCTCTTCATGTGACAACAAATTTTTTTGCCTCTAGATACATTTAATTTATTTTAAAGGGAAATGGTTTTCATATCATGTTTACAGCATTTGATCCCTTACTTTCAGTCTACACAATAAAGCCCCCATGTATATGTGCTGTGCAAAGTTGATTTAAATATGGAATATCCACCTTTGAATAAAATTTCAGTAAACATCTGTCTGAAATAAAGAGCCCTGACTAGGAACCATAGAGAGTTTTGCCTTGCATTTGAACAGCTAAGGCATAGCGCTTTAGGGTTCCAAAGGATTCGCTTTGTTTTATTCTTTTTGAAGGGGACAGTGTCACACAGAATCTGTTCAGCGTACATGGAGCGCCTTTTACACCTGCAGCTTAACCCACCTTGGGAATCCCCAGCATGTCCATCAAACAGCAAGGAGCAGTTATTTGCTAATGTCTTCTTGCCAGTGCCTTCTTGCTAATGCCTCACGTTTTCCCATATTGCAATATTTTAAATTAAAACTCGAGGAATCTTGAGTCCATTGCCTGTTAGTTCAGCGTACTAAAACAAATGTTCCCTCTCCCTTAGACCCTGAATTCTGTGACCCCTCGCCTGCAAGCGGAGGACTGCAGCATAGCCTGCTTGCCAAGGAACCATGACAAGAACCGCTTCATGGATATGCTGCCACCTGACAGATGTCTGCCTTTCTTAATTACTATTGATGGGGAGAGCAGCAACTACATCAATGCTGCTCTTATGGACGTAAGAGACTGTCTTCTTTGTCTGTGTAGTGTGCCATGAAAAGCTGTGTAATGTGAGAGCGAGCACTTGCTGGCTTAAGAAAGAATGACTTTTCTACTGTAGTGCCCGGTAAAACAGTCCTAGTGAAGCAGGATGGGGGGAATGGGTAAGAAACCCCACCAGCTTGGGTTGCTTGTTCCGAAGGTTTGTTATCTTCAGTGTTTCGCACCCCTGTGGGACCCACTGGAAGTCTCCTCTTTTCAACAGCATTGTATAATGCTCTAGTCTCCAGCCCTCCAAATCTCAGCAGGATCTCAAAAATCTGCTGGTTTTGGGGAAGTAAATACTACCTACCCGAGCATGAGTTTACTATCACTATTTTATAAAAATGTCTCTATATATTGAGGCTGATTAGACAGAGGAAGAAGAAAAAAACTGTTTCTTTGACATGTTTGGGGATAGAGTTGGGGGTTTTGTCCTTCATATTTTGAGTTGCAGCTCTTTAAAGTTCCAGCTTGAAAAACAGAAATATTGTCGGGGGAAAGGTGAATTAATGTGAAAAATGGAGGTGAACCTGCTTATAGGTGTCTCACTGATAAGGCAGTTTATCACATGTATTGTCAGATACCCACCTGTGCCTACCATTACCATTTCCAAAGTTAGGCCCCTAAAGCCACTTCCAAAGTAAATGCTTAAATAAGTGGCCTAATTTCCAGATGCGTAATTGAGTTCTGTGTTTTGGATGTCACAGTATAAGAAAGACATCAAGGTGCCCTTCCAGAGAAAAGCAATGACGCTGGTGAGGGGTCTCAAGAACAGATGTTATGAGGAGCAGCTGAGGGAACTGGGATTGTTTAGCCTGGCGAAGAGGAGGTTGAGGGGAGACCTTATTGCTCTCTACAACTCCCTGAAGTGAGATTGTAGTAGGGTAGGTGTCAGTCTCTTCTCCCAAGTAACAAGCAATAGGATGAGCGAAAATGTGCTCAAGTTGTGCCAGGGAGGTTTAGGTTAGATTCTAGGAAAAATTTCTTTACCGAAAGAGTGGTGAGACATTGGTACAGGCTGCCCAGGGAAGCTGTGGGATCACCATCCCTGTAGATGTTCAACATACGTGTAGATATGGCACTTTGGGACATGGTTTAATGGTCATGGTGGTGTTGGATTGATGGCTGGACTTGATGATCTTAGAGGTCTTTTCCAACCTAAAAATAAAAAAAAAAGCCTTAGTATCTAAAAGAGATGCTGAAATAAAAAGGCAAATAACAGAAATCATCAGAACTGAATGGCATATTTGTCCTGGAGTTCTGTCAGCTAGTATAGCAACATTTGAACTGCTAGCAAAATTCAGTAATCTTGCAATTAGCTATTGTGCCAGAAAAATAGAGCAGCATGTGTGAGACCAATCTATTAGGGGCTGAATGGATGAATTAAAGCAGCAAGCAGAATTTTGGTAGCAACTAAAATTGTTTAGAATTGCAGTTAAAATCACATTAAGCACCTGGATAAAATTTATGTACCATGGACCTACCAACACAGCTGCATAGAGAAAGGAGGACGACACAGGCTGAACAGCTGGGGACAGGACTCCTGAGTGTGTAAGTGTGCAGCAGGCAGGGACAGGAACCAAGCAACCTATGAATGTATAAGCAATCAGAGGCTAGTAAGGAAAGACAGAAATAATAGTAATAAAAGGAAGAAAGCAGATGAAAAACTGTAATATATTACAATAAAGGCATATAAAAAGGCTATAAGTACAGGAATAAAACTTTGGGTAATTAAAGCATTTTCTTTCCCTTCGTTGTTTTTTTTAAGACTGAATTAGTCAGCGAGGGGAGCCCCACTGCTGGGCAGTGAAAACCTGATCGTCTCAGACTCAGTATGTTCTCTCATCTTGAGAAAGACCAGAAATGATGGGGAAGAGGACTAGGAAGACATTAGCTAGTACATTTTTTATTTCTTAAAAATGCAAGGGAATGATTGATAGTGATTGTTCCTCTTTGCTTCCTCGGCAGATCTAGGATGTAGGACACAAGCCACTACTACCCCAATATCCTTCTTCCTTTAGAAGAAGATAGCAAGTGTAGATAAAAAAAGGTTATCAGCCTCCTTATTCTGTTATCAAATGAGTACTGGTGCTAAAGACAGTAATTTGTTATCTTCAGAATTTACAGCAAGTGGCAGGCTGAGGAGAATGGTATTTTTCCTTCTGGGCCTCACATGCTCTTCAAGGGTATGTCAATATATTGCACATGAAGATCTCTCATATAAGCCTTCAAACAAGCAACCTTCCCTGTCAGAAGTGGTTTAGCTACCCTACCAGGTCTTCCTCCTAGGTTAATTTACTCTACTTTTTCAGTAAAAAACAAGCCAAATTGGTTTTGGTACCAGCATTGGTGCTAAACATGAGGATCCCTTCATTGCATACAGCTGTCCCAGCACTTCATCTTCGAACTGGTGACTTAACTTCCCATCCACCTACCAGAATATTCACCATCTTACTCTGTTTCTCAGATTGGCCTGTGCTTCCTTGCCAGTTCATATCTGTATTCCTTCACTTCAGAACTCTTCTGTGCATAGTTTCAAATTGTCTGCAAAAAACTTCTTATCTATCCTCTTCTGCTTGCTGCTGGTAATACATGCTGCAGGGAATTAGCCCCTTTTCTAGTACATGCATCTCAGCTAACCTATGCAAGACTGGAAATCCCTATTTGCAGTTGCATATAATGCAGAATTAAAAAAATGGAATCTGCTCTCGTGACAGGAAAGAATATTTCTGCTGTTTAACTTCTGCTTTTCTGCTGGAAATGAGCCCCAGTAATCCTGAAGGTCAGTTCCAGGGGTGGTCCTGTGGCTGCCACACTGAATCAGAATTTGAGTTGAGCTTAGTCCCTGGTTCAGTCACAGAACTCACATGTAACCTGCTGTGGATTGGGCAACCTTCTGAGACCGTTGCACCACTCTCTGCAGCACAGCAAGAAGGTTTCCTGCTTGGTCTCTTGGACACAGTGCCTGGAATGGACTCACTCAAGCCTCAGCTCAGTAGAGCCCTGAAGAACGTCTTCAGTGCCGTATGCGTGTCTGAAATGAAACAGGGGTTGGCCTGTAACACAGCAAAAGACAGACCTGAGCAGAGTGATCTCTTTGTTCTTGCTGGAGACAATAATGTATTTTAACGTCAGCTTTGGTGAAGTCTGGTGTAGTCGATGTCACAGCTCTGCTCTATTTATATGCTTTTTTCTGTTGCGTTGTTTGAGGGAAGTTTTCAAGTACTTCCTATACTGGTGCTAATAAAATTGTTTGCCTTTACAGAGCTACAGGCAGCCAGCAGCTTTTATTGTCACGCAACATCCGTTACCAAACACTGTGAAAGATTTCTGGAGATTAGTGTATGACTATGGCTGTACTTCTCTTGTGATGTTAAATGAAGTCGACTTGGCACAGGTTAGTTTGAGGATCGAGTTTTCCATATACCGTCACATCCATCACTGTGGATCCACTACACAATAAAAAGGCATAGAAGTGCGGTGATTTAAAATTGTTCTCTGCTTTACAGAAATTAACGCTAGTTGCTCGGTAAAGGTTAAGTGAGATGTCTGCAGTGGAATAGGGCAATTCTCAAGTTGTAACTTAACATTGGATTGTGCCTGTTTTGCTCTGGTGCAGGGTTGCCCGCAGTACTGGCCTGAGGAAGGGATTCTGCGGTACGGTCCCATCCAAGTGGAGTGCATGTCATGTTCAATGGACTGCGACGTCATAAACCGAATTTTCAGGATATGCAATCTAACAAGAGTAAGTGTTATTGTAACAATATGTAATGGAAAAATATGTCATTTTTAACACTCTTGAGGCTCTTGTGGTTTTTTATTTTGACTACTAAAATACATGTTCTTAAGACCTTATAACCAGAAAACAGTCATGCATTGCTATCTAATACTAATTTCTAGTACTTTTCTATAGCTACCCACTAAGCAGAGAGAGCAGTATGGTGAATGACTGTTGTTCTGTGGTGTTCTCCCTGATGAGTATAAGATGTATGAGAAGTATTCTGTTTCTTTGGTGTACAGTGAAAGAAATAACCCTGTGATAAATGTGTAGTGACAGATATCTAATTCAAAGCTTCCATAAGATGTTTTCTGTGGTGAATGAGAAGCAGGAGCATTGAGGCCGGTTATGCAGCCAGCACCTTCTCAGCCTAAGATGTGAGAACCACAACATAAAAGGAGGATTGTGGCACCCTGCAAAGTCGGGTGTGAAAAGCTCTGAAAGCTCCTCTGCCTCTGAAGGCTTCTGCACCACTGTGCCTTGACTTACATTTATCATCTTTTTCTCAACTTCAGTAGCAGTGTCAGTCTTGGACACTTTTTGGCTCTTTCACACCTTGCACCATCTTGTCTTTTTGCTGTCCCATCATGTTTCGCGCTATCGTAACATTTCTCAAACCCTGCTTGCCACATGGTATCTCCTCCTTTAGCTCACCTCTACGGATCCCTTCTTTGTGTTGCCTGCGCGTAGACTTACAGATGGTTGTGCCACCGTTATATGTACAGTTAACCAGCAATCTCTGTTTTACTTACCAGTACTACTTTGTATCTTTCATCCAGTACTGAACTTACATGCCACTAATTGCTACTTTGAGTATACATTTAATTTTCATTAATGTTGAAAAATAGCTGTGGGGAAAACTGATTACTGTGTATACAAAGATTTTTTTGTTGTTTTATTTTGGTCACATTTTAATTTTTTGAAGAGCAGAGATCAGTTTACCAGCGTTTTAACCAAACATCTGTTTTGCTTATATTCAGAGCTAAGAAAAACATTTTCAGATCTTCGTACCTTGTTTGGAAACTACAGGAAGCTAAAGTGTAGGCACACTGGCAAATATTACGCCATAGAGCTTTTTTTGTTGTATTTTAAGACTTCCTCTCTGTTTTCACTTCACTTATTTACACTTTTTCCATTTCTTTTATATAATGTTTTGATTTTCTACTCCTCTGCCTCTGTTGTACATGCCTTTTCGCCTTCACTTCTAAATATCTCTCTGCTATGTTCTTCTTTTTCTGAAATCCACATTCCTACTCCTTTTCATCTTCTTCAGCTCCAAGAAACTGAATAGACTATTTATTCTTTCAATTATTAAGACCTTTCTTGTGACAGTCCAAGTCTATTCAAAGCTCCCCCTGTGTAGCATCTAGCACACAGAGGGCTCAGAGACTGGCAGCCAGGCTCTCTTCATTAGCATAGTCTGATTAAAAGGAAAGACTTCAAGGAAAATAGTTATATTTGTGTTGCTTTTTTATAATGGGGTCACTACCTGGGAAGGTAGGTGTCTTCATTTCTGTAAGTCTAAGTATTCAACAGTGATGTTTTTAATTTATTATTAATGTTAAGGGTGAAAACCATTGACGTGGAATCAAGAGAATTTGTCCATTCAGATGAAGTCAGGGTAGATTTCATTAGTGACTGATAAGCTGTGGGTTGATACATTTTGGTGTTGTCTTCAGTATAGTTCCCATTTTTTCTTTTTCGACATCTTCCTTGAGCTCAGGTGAATGAATTAATGAAGAGTCTGCCACGCAATGTATATACCTATGAAATCTGTCCATAGTATAAATACTGAGGTTTTGTGTTAGTTTTGTGTTTAGATTTTCTAAACTAAGATGTAAAGGTGCCATATTGACCCAAAGCTCTCTGGTTTCCCTCAGCCACAAGAGGGCTATCTGATGGTGCAGCAGTTCCAGTATTTGGGATGGGCTTCTCACAGAGATGTACCAGCTTCCAAGAGGTCCTTCTTGAAGTTAATTCTCCAGGTTGAAAAATGGCAAGAGGAATGTGAAGAAGGGGAGGGTCGGACCATCATCCATTGCCTGTGAGTAATTGAGAGAAAGTCAAATTTCAATGCTTAGAAATGCAAATAAATTTATATATATATTTCAAATTATAAACTTATAAATTAGTTCTTGTTTTAAGTTCAAGCAATGTTCTTCCAGCTACATTCTTTTGCACATGGCCTTTTTTCTCTTAAAAAAAAAAAAAGTACCACTGGTACTGTAGGTTGGCTTTTGGTCAACTTTCAGACTTGTCTGTGTCAAGCATCATGGGAATGTGTGTTTTGGACATAATGTGTGTTGTCTACTTCTGTACAGATCAATTTCTTCTGTGTGGTTTCAGTAAGGAAGTTTTTATGCTCAGTTGCAAATGGTTATTTTTTGTCTATCTCTTGTGTATCATGTGTTGGCATTTTCTCCAAAAGACCTATTGTATTTTGAGGGTTACATGAGCCTGATATTTAAACAGGAGCTGGTTTCAGGGGTTTGAAAAGGCAGCATCTCTTTCCTACCATATTTAAACATAAAGTTTAAAACTTAAAACTTAAAAATTTAATTATGCATTGCTCCTTTTAAAGAGAGGCTTCTTGTTTCAGTGTTCAGAATTAACTTGTGGCCCCTTTCTGCCCACCCCTCCTTATTATCTGCAGAACCTTCTGGCTAATTTAAACTTAAGAAGAAATACCTACCTTAATTTCTTGGAAATTAATATTAAAATTGTTCTGAAATGTCCCCAAAGGTCAACAAGATATCAAATCAGTTATGCCTTGGCATTACTCTGGGTAGATAATCCTCATGTCATAGGATAATTTAAGTGAGTCTCTTTCTAGAACTAAGTGGAAAATGCTGTACTTGGCTATTGGACTTGGTTTTTGATTTCTAATTTTGTACTTGTCATTGAACTTTTTTTATTTCTAATGCGTATGTAAATCAGGCTGTAGAATAGCAGGGCAGCATGGTGGGCTGTAAGGGCAGAATTCAAAATAAGTAACTGAGAGGAAGGTCAGAACCGACAAATGTCTCAGACCAAATCCACAGAAGCTTGCAAGAAGAAGGCTAAATCCTGATCTCCCTGTTGGACTCACGAATCACTCATGCTCCAAGAGTGGAAGAGCAGAAATGTGTTTTGGATGCTCTCTCACGCAGTGGTGACACTTAGCCAGCTCTTTTCTTTGCCTACAGAAATGGCGGTGGCCGGAGTGGGATGTTCTGTGCCATCGGCATTGTGGTTGAGATGGTCAAAAGGCAGAACGTGGTGGACGTTTTCCACGCTGTGAAGACTTTGCGGAACAGTAAGCCCAACATGGTAGAAACTCCGGTAAGCACCAGCCAATCAGGGTTACTGCAAACAACCGGTGAGCAAGAGGCTCTCTTGTTGTGTGAGCTGCATTTTCAGTCCCGTGCCCACAAAACAGCAAACCTGTGTTGGGCCACAAGAAGAAAGGGATGTGGGTTTGGGGTCTTGGGCTCCCCTTGTAGAACAGACTGAGCAGAAGTTGGTCTGATTCTTGACATGAGTGTAAGGTTGGGAAACGTTACATCCTGTGGTGGAAATTTATTAAGTGTACACACAAATCAACGTCATGAGATGCAGGCTAAGCATTTACACTGCTTTTCTTGTAGCAGTACCGTGCTTTTCACAGAAAACATTCTGAGCTAACAGAATGCACTTTCATCTCCCAAAATAACCTGGTCTGTTTAAAGAGAAGTTGCAGGTGTTGTGCACACACAAACCATCTTGAAATTTTACAGAGCAAGACATTGGTGGGAATAAGCTGTAAAGTCCAGATTAGTAGCTGAAGAAGTGAATATTTCGCTTAATAGCAACTGCTGCTTTGGAAGCTGTATTGAGTAATGATTGTGTTTGTTACTCAGATTTGTAGTAGTCAAAATGATACTTCAGAACTTTAAAAACTAGTACCTGGGATCTAGTAAGTTGGAAATTAAGATTCAGAATCACAGAATCATTTAGGTTGGAGAAGACCCTTTAGATCATCAAGTCCAACTGTTAACCTAAATAATAAACAATATAAACAATAAACTAGTAGAATCATAGAACATTTTCGTCTGGAAGAGACCATCAAGATCATCGAGTCCAACCTTTTCCTAGCCCTTTGAACACCACTAAACCGTGTCCTTCAAGGCAACATCTACCCTTCTCTTAAACACCTCCAGGGATGGTGACTCAACCACCTCCCTGAGCAGCCTGTTCCAATGCCTGACAACCTCTCAGTAAAGAAATTCTTCCTCATATCCAACCTGAACCTCCTCTGGCACAACTTCAGGCCATTTCCCCTTGTCTTACCACTTGCCACACGGGGCAACTGATCAACCCCCACCTCCCTACAACCTCCTTTCAGGTAACTGTAGAGAGCAATAAGGTCTCCCCTCAGTCTCCTCTTCTCCAGGCTGAACAGCCCCAGATCCTACACATGCTTCAAATCCTTTACTAGCTTGGTAACCCCTATATAAACATTATGAGCCCATAATATAAACATTATGAGCCTGAATTAACAAAACCACAAGACTAAGTACTGGTATGTGCATTGCCAGAACTGAGAATAATCTTTACACTTCTACTCCATTTCTATGCATACAGTATGAGTGCATATCCATCTGTGTGATCACTTCAGTCACAAAAAAGTGAACATTGTGGAAAGTCCTTATAAAAATTCTCCCAGGTGGAATTTTTCCATCCTGTAGGTGAACATAAAAGCAGTTGGGACAGTGTTTGGGAGTTTCTGCCATTTGACTCTTACACTGCTAGCAGGCAGTGTCACTTCTCAGCCAGATGGCTGCCTACAGCATAAAAATCAGGGATGCCAACTGAAATTAAAAACGTTTTGCAGTTTATGCGTAGTGAAAATTGCTTCTGATCTTGTGAACTTGCACACTGAGCAAAATGGCTGTAGCTGCCTCTTCCCATATTGCCCTTTTTTTTCCCAGGTGTCAGAGTTTGCTTAGTATTGAGTAGCTTCTGTGGCTAGTTTTGCTTAATTATGGTGCAGCACTTCCATCCCTTGCCACCACATAAATTAAGAAGGTGGTTAAAATGTTAATAGAGAGAGCATCCTGTAGCAGCAGTGGCATTGGGCTGGCTGTTGCTGGTTTTGCCACAAATACTTTGCAGTTTGCTGTGCCATAGATGTCTGAGACAGAACATACTGAATTGCTGCCTGGGTTTCAGTTCACTGCTGTGAAGAAAACAGGTCAGATCACATGGAAAATTACTTGTGTCACTGTAAATTGAGGCCAAGGTAGATTGTGTGTGTTTCTGATAAATGGTCTGTTAACTTACATTTCATTTCAAAATAGTCTTGAATTCCACTGTAGCTTTAATCTGTAGTTACTGAATTTCCGTAGTTACGTGTTTCTGTTGTGTGGGTTTTTTATTCAGAACTCTTCAACAGTGGCAGCTGTTGAGTCGTTAGTTAGAAAACAAACCAGGAAAACCAATATATAACACTGTCGTGTGCCCTACATTCAACAACCTCATCAGATAACAAAAATGAGCAGCGCAATAAAGCCTTTAAGATATCCCCACCACTTCCTGCTAATGGATCACACTGGCTTCCTTCACAAAGAAAAAATAAATCACAAAAGCAGATTTGTTTTGTTAGGTCGCAAGGACAATAGAGACTGAATTAATTTCCCTGGTTTGTTTGGTTTGTTTCTTCTTCTTGCCCTCTCTTCTCGCCTTCTTTCTCCCTCTGCCCCTCTATCAGCTTTGAACAGCAGCCTTGCTGAGGAGAAATACTAACCACGATGAAATTTCCAGCTTTAGCTTCTCTTTTAAATGGGCATCTGATCGCTTGGAGGTTACATTGATGCGAATGGGCTGTGGGCCCCGAGCAGTTTTGTGTGGCAGCTCTGTGTTCCCAAGCTGTTATCCCCTAGCTGTCCAAGCAGCGGCTGCCGGTTAACTGCTCAGTATCAGCTGACTTAAACAGTACGTGAGAGTCGAGGTGCTCTCACTGCAAGAATGCTCTGACTGATAGGAGAGCTTTTCAAGCTCGATAAACCACCTCGGAAGCTGAACAAAATTCAGAGAAGCAAATCATTGCATTTCATGGTCAGGTTTGTTGTTTGATTTTCCCAGTTCACTGGTTTGGGTGAGTTTTTAAATCAGAGCTGGTAACATACTTGTGTAGTAGAAAAAAAGGAAAACGGAAAAAAATAAGAAAGCCAAAGCATTTCAGGCCTGAAGTTAGAATTGCATAGTAGTTAGCAAAGACTATTCGTGTTTGTAGATATTGCTGCTGAGACTTTAGAATCTTAATTTGACTTCTTGCCTTTTTTTTTTTTTCTTCTTTCCCCTTAAAGGAACAATATCGCTTCTGCTATGATGTTGCGTTGGAGTACCTGGAATCCTCTTAGTCGGAATGGATGTGACAAAGTTCACCAAATATATGAATCTCAATAAGCTGTTTTGACAACAGTTCTTGATCCTGTGAAGAAAGATTTTAGGGGAAGAGGGGGGTGGGAGGGATTTTAAATTTTAAATGCAAAGTATTTTTCTTATGAAGTTGTGTATCTTAATAAAAGAACTCAATCTGTTTCTATGCTTGTATACAGTATCAACATTTAGTGCCACATAAATACTATTTAATGAAAACCAGAGTCAGAAGAGATTTGCGCAAATTAGGACTTTTCAGTGTTTGTATATGCAGCCGTCTCTCAGTTACAGTAGAGCGACCATCTATTGCATGTATCAATATTTCCTATATGGTATTAATTTTTTTCTGTTTTTTTTTCTTTTGATACATTGTTGAAGTACAATAACAGTGCAGATTGATAGTAAGGTTCATTCTTTATACGTTTCAAGTGTTGCATATATATATTATATATAGTAAAAAAAACAACCTGGCTTATTTTGTTTTAATGTGCAATGATGGCTGGATCACATAAAGATCTTTATAAAGAAACTTAAACATAAGCCAAAGACTCAAGTGTAAATATGTCTATATGGAGAAAGCACATGTATTTATTGTTTACTTTCATTCCTTTTTTGATGGCTGATAAAAGAATCATTTTTCTTGAAGAAAGCTTTTTTTGCTGAAATCAAGTGTAAACAATTTTTGTAGTTTATTTTTTGTATGTTTTAGTGTAAGTAGAAGACATACTTTTTATGCATAGACCAAGAAATATTGGTATAGTGGTTTTGTTGTGTACATGCTTGTGATTCAAATCCATGTAAACAACTCAGTTATAGAAGGTCTTTAACTACAGGACCAAAATCACATTTTCCTGAAAATGTATAGTTTTTCACAGTTGCATTAGTTAAGTACCCATCAAAAACCCTATATAAGGAAGGGCACACATCAAAATGGCCTTGCTTATGACTTGCACAATATGGGAAGAAATTTTTAAGCACCATTAAAATTATAAGGGAACCAATTGTTTAAAAAAATACTGAAACACAGGTCAACAGGAAAACTGACGTACAAATAGATGGCTCTGCATATGTCCTTCAGGGTAAAAAAATTATTTGTTTAGCACATTGTAAAATTAAGCAATGTTTATTTTGATGTTTACAAACATGTAAGCTTTGCTTCCAGGAAAGCAAAATTTGAATAAACCAATGCCAGATTCTGATTATAGCTGCGGTGTACAAAATATTACTGTGCTTTCACTTAGCTTGTATCCATTTGTTCATGAGGTTTCCTATATTTTGCCAGCTAAAATCATTCCAGTCTCTTGTTGGTCTTTTTTAGAACTGACAGTAAAATGCTAAGGTGCTTTTAAATAGTCTGTAAAGTAAGAGTGAATTAAACTTTTATTTAAAGATTATTTTAGATTATTTTAGTGTATTTCCTATTTTGATACCCTCTCACTTACTGTCCTTGTTAAGGAGTCATTCTTGTCTAGAAGACCGATCTATTTGGATAAGGAAAATCTCAGAAGAAAATTATACCATTTTTCACCTGTTTTGGGGAGTATTTGAGAAGACTCCATGTCATCTCTATGCCCTAAGTTTCTTCCTTTATGCTATAAATGGCAGAGAAATATTTAAACAAATTGTACGTCTCTGATTTTTTTCAGTGCTTCCATCTGTATCACATAGCTCCACCTCGTACAGATCTGAAAAAAACATCTTTTTCCTTTGTCACCCATTATTAGTTCCTACCAAGGTAAACAAATCAGGTTTGAAAACATTCACTGGGTCTGGATTCGTAATAGTAAAAATATCTCTTTTTATTTTTTTTCTTTTACCACATTGGAAAGAGGTTTATAAACTGCATGCAATGTAATTGCAACATTCACAGCTTCCTCTGTGAGACCATGGCTGAAACTAATTTTGGAAGTCGGAATGCTGGGTCTATCATCTAAAGAGATCTGTCTGATCACCAACTGGGAGACAACACATCATCTCCACAGACTGATACATCCGGCCTCTTAGGCTTGTGTCTGGGACTAAGTGAATTGGACTTTGGAAAAACCTTCCTCTGTTGTCCATAAAGAGTGTCAAGATCAGTGTAGAAGTCTAGATTAACTTTTTGCAGATGAGATGATTAGCTCTTAGGGGTTTGGAATGCAAAAGCCACATTCCATACCAGAAGGATTTTTATGTTCAGGTTTTAGTTTTTATCATTCCTGATCACAAATCTAGCATTACCATTAGGCTGAATGGTTGTTTTCAGGGAGAGCTCCTGTGCTGGGTTCAGTGGGATCCATCCCCATCAGTACTTCATAATCCTTAGTGAGAGATTTGTGTCGTGTTTCCCCTGTGCGTTAGCATGACTGGTGGAAATGCCAGTGTGAGTCTTGGCATCACGGCACACTGAGCCTGCACAGGAGTCCTTTGTGGGAGCATCTTCCTCAGATGGAAAGTATTGCAGCTGCCAGTGGTTATTCTGCAAATGAGAACTGTGCCTGTGTTGTTCAAGTGCTCTGAGCATCACGTAATGACTGTGTCTGTAGCTGACTGGTGACCTAATGAGTTTTTGCAATAGCTCGCGAGTGAAAAACCTGTGGGAAGTTCCCTCCTTTCAAGGCTGGAGAAAGGTCTGCAGAGGGAATGTGGTGTGTGAGAAATGGATCAGAAATCGCGCTTCAGTAATCACAGAATCACAGAATGTCAAGGGTTGGAAGGGACCTTGAAAGATCATCTAGTCCAGCCCCCCGGCCGGAGCAGGATCCCCTAGGGCAGCCACACAGGAACGTGTCCAGGCGGGTTTTGAATGGCTCCAGAGAAGGAGACTCCACAACCTCCCTCAGCAGCCTGTGCCAGTGCTCTGTCACCCTCACAGGGAAAAAAAATTTTCCTAATGTTTTTGTGGAACCTCCTATGCTCCAACTTGTATCCCTTGCTCCTTGTACTGTAATCGGACATCACTGGAGACAGCCTGGCTCTGTCCTCCTGACACTGACCCTTGACATATTTATCTTGGGGGTCTCTTAAGCAAAAGACAACATTAGAATCAACTTTTTAGGATAAAGTCAAGAAGAGGCAGTTTGTTTTCATTGTGGTACCTCTTTTTCTTATCTCACTCAGTGGCAGCAACTGCCAGCTTTGTTTTCTGGGAGCACCGGCGCACCCCTGGATAGACACTGCTCCAGTATCCTTTTCTTACACCTGTGCGAGACAGAAAGAGAAGTGGGGGGACTATGAAAACCTGCCCCAGAGGGAGAACAGATATTTCTCATAAAGGAAGTGTGCAGTAGAGGGAGAGAAGTAATCTCGACCTTGGGCACTTGGAGAGGGAAATATTTTACTTCTTGAGGCAGTGAAAAGCCACCACCACCCAGTATTGCAATGTGTCGGCAGCTCTTGCCCCAGAGCAGTCCGTAAGTTTCAAGACTGTCTCAAAATCTTTCTCCTACCACCCTTGCTGAAATAAATTAGTAGCTACAGACTGCAAGGTACACAGTCTCCGCTTTCCTCAACATAAAATGAAGACTGGACCAACACAAGCAGTAAATATAGTGAGAGCAGATAGATATCAAAATACAAAGAAGAGGCATGAAAGACTTTGTCCATAGAGGATGATTCAAATCTGAAATGAAGTTGAAACTGGTTTAATGTCACGTAACGAAAGCAACCAAAGGAGCATGTAAGTTCCCCAAAACATGATTGCTCAGTGCAAAAAGATATTCTTTGCTCTAAAACTGATAAGTAATGACTCCAGTGTCCTAGTCTCCATAGTTGCTAGTGAGAGGAGTTGTGAGTGTCGCTGTGATGGCTTTGGTGCATTTTCTATAGAACAGTAACTGAGCGATGTGTTCACACTATCTGAATTTTGCCTAAATAACTAGATCTTATGATCCAACACTGAAGGACCATAACAGGCCTTGAGCACCTTGAACCCTTGCAAGTTTTTTACAATGAGGGTGGCTAAACACTGGAACAGGTTGCCCAGAGATGTGGTGGAGGCCCCATCCGTGGAGACATTCAAGGTCAGGCTTGATGGGGCTCTGAGCAACCTGATCTAGTTAGAGAAGTCCCTGCTCACTGCAGGGGGATTGGACTAGATGGCCTTTAGAGGATCCTCCCAACCAAATGCAATCTATGATTCTAGCTGTTGTGGAGGATGAAGTTTGGAAAAACAAGAGCTACTTAACCTCAGCACCCTGTATGGACAGGGGCTTCTCTTTTACTTTTTTTTTTTTTTTTAAGCCCTCTGAGTCTTCCTTCTCTGTTCATAGTGATTGAAATCCAGCAAAAGGAGATGTGAAGAGACCCACATTTTTGAGCTTTCATCCACATCCTGAGAGACCAGACCCCAGCTGGTAGACGAGATCTGAGAATTTACATTTCCTGCTTCCCGGGGAAATGCTACTGTCAGGAAACCTCAGCTTTGACAGAGTTTGCCTTCCTGGAAAACAGTCACAGCCATGAGTTTGAAACTTGAAGCTTAGCATCATCAGGATATGCAAGCAGTTACTGGGATTTATTTCATTCAGGAAGTCACTCAGACAATAGAATTATGTAGTTTATGGTATGTCCATGCCATACCAAAGGTAGTACATTAAGAAACACAATATGCCGTAGAGAAACAGAAAAGCAAAAGCTACTGCAGGAGTGTGCTCTTTCAAATTGGTTAACAGTTTCCAAAATCAAAGGTCTAAAAAAGAAACTGGGGGAAGGAACAGTAGGCAAGTGCTGTGTCACTGAGCCTCCAAAGTGAATTGAAATGTTAAAGGACAAGGAAGGGGCAGCCTGAGAAAAAATGTTGCAGAATCATTGCATAGCCAGGCCACCTGGACTGACAAATGACTGCATAAAGGGCCTCTTTAAAGCTTCATCCTGCTGCTGTGTCAGAAGAAACCCCGAGATCTTGAAATAGATGTAAAAGCTGCTTTTATAGTACCCTGCTCTGTACTGAAAAGAAAAGCAACTCATTTTCTGCTGTACTTTCCTGTGTCATGTAGAGGTCTGAATTGAGGTAAGTGATCCTAATCTCACAAAGGAACCTTTGTGGCCGTTTATTGCTAGTGCTCTTCCTTTGTTAAACAGTCAAAGGTCTTGTAACCTCTGCAGATCCAGAAGAGTCAAGGGTATCTGAATATTCACTAAGTCTTTACCTTCTGCAGTTGAATAATCTGCCAGGATCTGATGGTATATACTGGGGATGAGACTTTCAGAACATGCAGAAGTTTAGTCCGATAGATTTCCCTTCAATTTTATGCAGTAGAAACCTTGTCATTATTTTTTTAACTACAGGCTCTGTTTGAGGAAAAATTTGAGATGCTGACAATATAGGAGTGTTTCTAAATTATTTTAAGCTTGCTGGATGCTTTTTTCTTTAAGCCTGAGTAAAAGAATGATGTGAGATTGTGGTGGTGGTTGACAGGCATAAATGTTATTTTGGCCTACATTTCTCAGAAAGTAAATCTTTCCCTGCTGCTGGGTTTAGAGTCCTAATTTATGTAGAGATTGACATGTATGATGACAAGCACAACAGGATGCTTGCCTAATAATAATGTTTATTAACTGTGTCTTGGCCAACAAAGAACAGATATTTTTGTGCCTTGTTGAGATAAAAAAGCTTGATTTCAGTAGTCTTTTGTTACCCCTTCTAGCTTCCATCTGGATCAGAAAATAGTCCTGACTTCACAAATTACATCAAAAAAAACCCCACTTGAAATCCCCATATGTTCAGAGATTTTTCAGATCTCCACTAAATAAGCAGAAAAAAATGATGTTGATGTTATAAAAAAACAGCAACAAACCCTCGCTTCTGGACATAAAACCAAAACATGATCTTTCTGCAAACTTTGGAATACCCTGGAGCTTTTTGGTAACGAGCACAAAAATTGTATCTGGCAAAATACAGTACCTCCAGATTGTGATAATATGCATGTATTTTCCTGCCAGGTGCAAAACAGTGTGAGGTCTTTCCATTTCACGGTGGAAAACTTCTGTCTTTTTTTCTGTATCTAATCTTTTGTAGAATAATAACTGAAATAACTCAGAATTTTGCCCAGGCCTGAAATTCTGAAGGAAGTTCCTGTCTTTTTGTATGCCAATAGTAAACATGAAACCAGATATTATAGTATCTTTGGAGTTTCTTGAGGTAACCAGAGTGAGTTGAATTTTGTAGCAGCCATAAAGCCAGACTATGATAAATTTCAGAAAGTTTTGAAATGCTTTTGTTGTGCTTAAGTCCCAGCAGGTGAAATCTCAGTTCATTTGTGCTTAAGGCCATTAAGTCTCACTAGTCATGTTTTATTAGTCTTTCTGATCTACTTACTGTACCCGTGAATGGGCACAATAAATTGGCCCATTGGACCCACAGTCCAAGTTATTTTCAGCACGGAACCTGGTGCTGTAGCCTTTTC